GGGGCATAGAGGAGGTGGAAAATAATGTGTTTTTTTTTACCTTAAACCGCATAAACACATTGCATTACACCAAATACACAACATAATGTTATTTTTAGCAACGTCATATGACCCCTTTAACAAATAATAACTTCTTATTCTGGACAATTGTCAGAAATTGATATACTGATATTTTTTCAAAAAGATCCTCTACACATGTTGTCAAAATGGTAAAATGCTCAACATTTTCCAGAAAAAGTTGTATGTATCTTGCCTTCGAATTGATGTGCCATAACCCTATGTCCTTCACTCTGAACATCCCAGTTTGGTGTATTGCAGAAATCTAAAAAGGAATATTTCATTTGTGTTAGTACAATTACATGTTTAATGAATATTCTGTACTGGCTATCAGATACAGCTTTTACATGGCTAGTAGATGGCATTCAGATTATGCCTTTGCAGTGGAAAATTGTATGCCATTCAAACTAATAAACAAACAAACAAACAAACAATACCTAAATGTTGTGGCCTTATTGAATGGGTGCTATCGGTATGGATAGCTGCTCTGTAGCCCCCTGGCATGTTTGGATCATTGAGATGTTAATAAATTACAGGGCTGCAATCATTTTTGATATATGGTGTATTGTGTAAAACTGCTTATCTTCTTTATTATTTATACTTACCACAAAATCCAGCTCTTGGCAAGCTGTCAAGACCCCCACATGTCTGTGATGGCTCAGGTGCTAAAAAAAAAGGAAAAGAGATTCATATCATTGTAACAATACCGTTGTTATAAACCAATGACAACAATATTAATTGTTTACTGTAAAAAAGTATTTTGGTGTGGCCACACAATTAAAGTACAATTAAGTACAATTAAATTTTCTTGTACTTTCGGATGAGTTCCTTCTTCTTGGTGGAGAGGGCAGGGTTGGTATTTTTGCTGGTGGCCTGGTGTTGATATTACCTAAAACAATTTTATTAAATTTAAGTTTTTATCATTTAATTACTTTATAAACCAAACAAGAAATGTGAATTCATATACATACTGTCTTCAATATCTGTGATATCACTATCTGACTCTAAAAGGTGTAAAGGTGGTCTCTTCAGCCTGGTTGGCCTTTTCTCAGTGATGGAGGAGTCTGAGAGTTCAGGACACGAGGTGATTTGAGCTTTTCTCATGAGCTTTTGGGCTGTCATGTAGTCAACTAAAGAAAAAAATTATGGGCTGGTAGTCAACTAAAGAAATAATTTAAAATAATTAAGAAATCATTTTTTAGATGGCATGAAAGGTAAAACAATGTATCATAAAGTATCCACCTTATTTTACCCGTAAGAGCTGTCGTGGCCATTTGTAAATTTAATGTGTCTGGCTT